TCATAAATGGCTTTTATCACATTGAGGAAATTATATTTTATTTCTAGTTCCCTGAATGTTTTATTTTATTTATGAAATGATTAGGCTTTTTGTCAAATGCTATTTCTGCATTAATTGAGATAATCTTGTGGGGTTTGTATTTTGTTTACTAATGTGATGTTTTTCATTAATTTTTTTTTTTTTTTTGTCTTTTTGAGACAGGGTCTCGCTGTGCAGTTCAGGCTGGCCTTGAGCTCACTGTGTAGCCCAGGTTGGTCTCGAACGAACTTGCAACAATCCTCCTGCCTCAGCCTCCCGAGTGCTGGGATTACAGGCGTGAGCCACCATGCCCGGGTTTCATTAATTTTTTATGTTGAATCTTTTTGCATTTCTGTGATGTCCTAATTGATTGCGGTGTATAATTCTTTTAGTAAGCTATTGGACTCAATTTTGTAGTGTATTGTGGAGGATTTTTGCCCCTCTATTGATGAGGGACATTAATCGGTAGTTTTCTTGTGGTATCTTTGTCTGGCTTTTACAAGGGAAAGACTGGCTTCATAGGATAAGTTAGAAAATGTGCCCTCTTCTTTTAGTCTCTCTCTCTCTCTCTCTCTCTCTCTGTCTCTCTTCTGTGTGTGTGTGTGTGTGTGTGTGTGTGTGTGTGTGTGTGTGTGTTACAAGGAACTGAACCAAGATCCTTCACAATGAACCACATCCTAGGCCCCCCATTTTTGGCAGTGCTAGGAATTGAACCAAGCACTTCGAGTGTGTTAAACACACTCAAAGCAGACTGAGTTACATCCCAAACTCTTCTGTGTCTTTGGAAGAGTTTGAAAAGGACTGACATTCAATCCTCAGTTGTTGGTGTAACTAACTAATAAGGCTGTCTGATTCTGGATTTTTCTTTGTTGGGAGGATTCTGTTTACTAATTTACTCTATTTTCTTGTTATATGCAGGATCAGATTTTTCACCTATTCAAAAGTAAAATTGTGCGTTTCTATCATTTGTTCATTTCATTTAGGCTATATTTGTTGGCTTATGATAGTTTATACTATTTTTTTTTTTTGGAGACAAGGTCTCACTTTGCAGTTCAGGCTGTCCTTCAACTCATTATGTAGCCCAGACTGACCTCAAACTCACAGATCCTTCTGCCTCAGGCTCCCAAGGGCTGGAATTATAGACGTGGATCTTTTTTAATGTAGACGAGAGACCAGGGGATATACATGAATCCTCCTGTCTTTCACTGTGTAATATCCTGCTTGCCATAGGACTCTGTCGTGAATGCAATTACCAGATGTTGCCCCTTGATTTTGGATCTCTTAACAGTAGCTCCAGAATCCCTCACTGGTTTGCATCTAAGGCTAAGTGGAGATACTGTATTACAAGCCCCTTACATGCAATGGCTTAATATTTGCATAGACCCTTCCCTTTAAATCATCTTATAATATCTAGTACATATAAATGTGCAAATCATTCCATCTTTATTGTTTAGGGAACAATGATTAAAAAGTCTGTACATGTTCAGTACAGATACTATTTTTTCTATAAATTTTTTTTCTGAGACAAGATCTCACTCTGTCACTCAGGATGTCCTTAAACTCACTATGTAGCACACGCTAACCTCAAACTCCCAGCAATCCCCCTGCCTCACCCTCCTGAGTGCTAGGATTACAGGCATGCACCATTGAACCTGGACTTTTCTGAATATTTTTGATCCATTGTTGATTGTACTATAAATACAGAGCCCATGGATAGGGAGAGCTGGCTGTACATCACTCCAAAAGCCAGACAAATCCCAGTGCTTTTGGTTGTCATGTTGCTAGTTTCCAAAGTCTGAACTTTAGCATGTTAGGTAGGCCAGTACCTACAAATGTGGTGCTCAGCCATGTTGGAACCTTGGGAACTTACCCCAGAATCTGATCTGTGCTCTATTTGGTTTTCTTTCAGAGGTAAGTTTCCTTATCCCTTTACATAAGGGCAATTAGCTAGACAAATATGTACAGATTTAAGCCTCCCCGTGTGTCTGACAAGTGTATTGTACACATTTTTTCTAGGAGGCTACATGGAGCACTCCCAGGAAAATTTCATTTCCTGACACAATATGCTTTCTTTATATCTAGCTTCTTTCTCTTCCTCTTCCTTCTTTTTTGGTACCAGGGATTGAACTTATGACCTCACGCTTGCCAGGCAGGAGCTTATGCCACTGAGCTAAATCCCCAATCCTGTTTAGCTTATTTTATTGAATATTATCTTTGCAAAATTCATCCATACTATTTACAAATGTTCATTCATTCTCACTGCTATATGGAATTTGTCCATTCTATGTTTGGTGGGGATTAGGTAATGTAAAAATTCACCAGCTATGGATATAGGCAGCAAGTCACAAGATAGCCATCACTTCTCTTTTAAATTTTAATATATTTTATTTGATGTAATATATCCAAAATATCATTGTTTTAATATGTAACCCATGAAACATTCACTAATAAACTACTTTCATTTATTTTCATTCTAAGTTCAGTGGATACTGCAATTATAACTGGTCCTATTTCAAATGCTCACTGACGACATGTGGTCATAGCTACCATATGGGCAGCACAGCGATAGACTGGTGACAGAAATCCAAATCAATCAGGATAAATACTACCATTGAAAAGTAAAGTGGGCTTTTGTGTATACATTAGTAGCTGATACCAAAAGTACATAAAACATCTTAATTCCTTTTCATGCTCTTTTTTTCCCTCTCTTGGTCCTCTTTCCTTTTGCAAATGATCTAACTCCTATTTCCTATTATTTATCTTTTATATTTTGTTCATTATTTATATTTTTGGCTTCTCGTATAAGAGAATTTATGGGAAATTTGAGCTTGTGTGTCATTTATTTTACTTACCATTATGGCCTCAAAGTATACACATTTTCCTACAAATGACTCAAGTTTATCTTTCTTTATGACACAATAGTACTCCATGGTATATAAATACATTTTCTTTATCCATTCACTTATTGATCATAAGTTGACACATAGGCTGTTTCCAACATTTAGCTATTAAGAATTGTAGTGTTGGGGATGGGGGTATAACTCAGTGGCACAGCACCTGCCTGTCAGGACAAGGTCGTGAGTCACACCTGTAATCCCAGGATTTGGAAGGCTGAGGTAAGGAGGATCATTGCGAGTTTGAGACCAGTCTGGGCTACAAGTGAGCACAAGGCCAGCCTGCACTGCATAGGGTGACCCCGTCTCAAAAGATTATTTTTTTTTTTTAAACTGGAGATCGAACTCATAACCTCACACTTGCCAGGCAGGCATTTGTGCTGCTGAGCTAAATCCCCAGCCCTGTTTGTTGATTCTTGATGTTTTATTTCTTGTGCAAATGGAGTTTGTTCAGAAAGTTCTTGCCTCTCATTATGTTTTTAAGAATTTTACATACATTTGCTTTCAGCAGATAAAATGTTTTTGTTTTAACATTTAAGTATATGATCTATTTTGATATTAGTTTAGTATATAGTAAGAGAGAAAGTTCTAGATTCAAATCTTCTAGCCAGGCAAGATGGTGCATGCCTATATACCCAGTACTTGGAAGGCTGAAGCAGAAGAATTAACCATGATTTCAAGGCCAGCCTGAGCTACATAGTGGGTTCAAGGCAGACTGAACAACACAGTGCAATCCTGTCTCATAAAATAATTTTAAAAAATAGATTTAGTCTCCTGCATGTGGATGACCAGTTTTCCCAGCACAATTTGTTAAGAAGGTTATCTTTTTGATACTTTCGTCAAAGATCAGATTGCTGAATGTGCCTAGAGTTTTTTATGCAATCTCTGCTTTATTCCATTGTTCCAAATGCCTGTTTTTGTGTTAGTACCATGCTGTTTTTAATCATTGTAGCTTTGTAATATAACTTGAAGTCCAGGATTGTGATTCTTCCTGCTTTGCTTTTATTGCCCAAGATTACTTTGTTATTCTGAGTCACTCCTGACTCCATAGGAATTTTAGGATGGTTTCCTCTAGTCCTGTAAAAAATGCTATTGGTGTTTAGATTGGGATCACATTAAATCTTTATATCAGTTTGAAGTATGAACATATAAACAGTATTTGTTCTGCCTATTCAGGAACAGGAGACATATTTCCACTTTCTGGATCAAAGGAACAAAATGTTCTCTACAATTACTATTTTCAGAGTACCAAAGTTTTCATTGTAGGAGTCTTTTACTTCCTTGGATAGGTACATCCTTAAGTATTTAAAATTTTTTGACACTGTTATGATGGAGCTTCATTCTTTTTCTTCTCTGCAGAAATTCTTTTATTTTTTTTACTTTTTTTTTAACCCCTGAGCATGATCTCAAGTTGTATCCATTTACCTACAAAAGCCTCAAGATTATCTTTCTTTATAATCAGTAGTTTTCTATTGTATGAAAGTGTCCTGGCTTTCTAATCAATCTGCAGCTGATGGGCAAGTTACCCCACTTTTTTCTGGTTCCCTGTCACATTGTTTTCACATCTTTACCTTTCAGTCTATAAACTCCCTTTCAGGTTAAATGTATTTTTATATAAAGCATCTCAATGGACCCTATCTCCTGATCCACTCTGCCTGTGTATCTTTTTATTGGTGAATTGAGGCCATCTATATTAGTGATTATGGCCAACATTCTCTGTCTCACCTCTGCCATGCTATTTTTCTGCCACTGGTTACCTACTTTTCCCCTTCATTGCATTGACTGCCCCATTTAGGGGGCCCTCTCTGCTGCGCTTCCTGAAACCGTGTCTTTTTTTCTCTGAGTGTCCTGCAGTATGTTTTGTAGAATTTGTTTGGTAGTCATTGCAGAGATTTTTTAAAACACTGCTGTGTTAGTCTGGCAAGCTGCCCTGCTCCCTGCGGTGTTGTGGCGCAGATGATTCCGTTTTATGCTTTAGCTTGTTTTGTGTTATCATCTCCAGGAAGTTGGCAGCTGGATCAGTCAGCTAAGGAAACTGGCCAGTCTGGTGCGGTTCCAGAGGCTGCCCCGCCCTCTGGCTGGCTGGTGGACTGAGAACAGCTGACTCCAGAGCTCTTGCTCACGTGATCTCTGTGGGTCCCCGTTATGCTTCTTGTCCCCAGCCAGGGTGAGCACTTTCAGGGCCGCTTCTGTGAGGAGCAGCAGGTAGGCGCCTCCGTTCTGAAGGTCCACCATCCGAACTGCTGGAGGGGACATCGGACAGGCAGCCAAATGAACGTGGCAAATCAGGTATCAGGCTCTCCATTCTGGTCCTGAGCTCTTCAAGTAGTGGATACAGAAAGTGACTGGCCTCAAGTTGTCCTACACTGTCTTTTGTTACCCTTTCCTTCCCTTGTCCCCTACCTCAAGGAAGTTTGCTCCGCCCTTCCTTCCTTTATCCTTTGACCTTCTTTCCCCCTCAATAACAGACCTTTTCTCCTTTCTCTTGCTGACTTAGCAGCACACTGGAGGGGAGAGGAGAGATTAATCAGTGACAGGAAGCTGCGTCTTGTTCAGAGCGGTGACCTGCTGTAGTCAGACAAATCTTTGCAAGCCGGCCCCAGGAGTTTCTCCCACTTCCCGCCTGCTGCTCATCCACCTGCTTCTGCCATGAGGAGCCTTAGGGCCTTCCTCTTCCTATTGGGGGTCCTGGGGGCTTTTGCCGACTTCTGTGGTGAGTAACCAGGCCTATATCATTTCCCTTTCCTCCTTGGTCGCAGGGAGAGAGGACTATCTTTCCAAGACCCTCATTATGTATCTGGGGAAACCGAAATTCAAGAGTGGGATGGGGGAATTTATGTGCTCACCCTGGGTTCCCACAGTGGTTTGGGTTTATCTGGACCTCAGTGTTTGGCACTTTGTATCGAGATTAGTTAGATGCCTGACTGTCCACTGGAGGAGTCAGACAAGACAGGTCAGACAATAGGAAGGGATCAAGATCTTCGCCGTTAGGCGTGTTGGTGCATACCTGTGATTCCAGCACTCATGAAGCTAAGGCAGGAGAATTACTGGGAATATGAGGCCAGCCTGGGCCACATAGTGTGTCAAAGGCCAACCTGAGCTACATAATAAGACCTTGTCTAAACAAAACACAACACTCCCTCATTAATTCATTTATCCACCCAATGCACATTTACTGAGGCTTCTTAGTGCCTGGCCTGGTCTTAGGCTTTGGAGAAAGAACAAAGAGCAGGACTAGTTTGATCTCTACTTTCCTGGAGTTTAAATCTTAGGGGTGAGGGTGGATAAAAGAAATCAGTTTGGCTACAGGTGGTGGCACATGCCTGTATCCTAGTACTCGGGAGGTTAAAGCAGGAATATTACCTTCAGTTTGAGGCCAGCTTAGGCTACATAGTGAATTCAAAGCTGGCCTGAATTACTGAGATAGACCCTGCTTCAAAAAACAAAACAAAACATAAAGAGATCAAGCTTACAAATTGGGCTATGGCAGACACCAACCAGGAGTAGAATGGAAGTAGACAGCCAAGGGACACCCCCCAACCCCCCACCCGGTTCAGGGAAAGCTTTGGAGACCCCCATGGGAGCTGAGACCCAAAGAAAGAAAAGGAACCACTGGGCAACAGAGTGGGTCCCACATTCCAGGCAGAGAGAAGTCAGTGCTCAGAGACGCTGCCTGCTTGCATCTTTTTTGTTTTTTGGGAGATAAAATTTCACTATGTAGTTCAGGCTAATCCGAACTCACTTTTCAGCTCAGGATGGCCTTGATCTTATAGCTATCCTTTTGCTTCATTCAGTCCTGGAGTTACAGGCATGCAACACTATGCCCAGTGCAAGGCTGCTTTTATTATGCTTGGTGAATCTGCCTGCCTCTTTCTAAAGAGGCTAAACTGTCAGCTTCCCTTACAGCTGCCTCCTTAGCATTTTTAACCCCAGCTGACTCATTACAGTAGAGGTCAGAGCCAGGGTGAGGACAGAGGGCCCCTTTACCAGTTTCAGCATGGGGAGAAGAAAAGAGGTACGAAAGAACAGATGATCAGATTGTTAGCAGCAAGAAACAGAATGTTACAGAAGTAGAAACAGAAGCTGGGTGTGGTAGCACATGCCTATAACTCCAGTGCTTGGGAGGCTGAGGCAAGAGGATTGCTGTGAGTTTGAGGTCAGACTAGGCTATATAGCGAGTTCAAGGCCAGCTTGAGTTGCATAGCAACACTCTGTTTAAAAAAAAAAAAAAAAAGTGGAAACGGACACCAAGAAAAGGAAAGGAAAAACCAATCCTCCCTGGCTCTCTTTATAAACATTATCTGAGAAACTAGCCACATTTTCTGGCCTGGCCTCCCAGAGCAAAGCATTATTTCAGGTTTTACACCGGTGAATGGTTACCTAGAAGTAATAGATAACTGGAGGAGACTGGCCTAAGTTAGTGGGGTCCAAGCTCAGAGAGATGGGGCTTGTTCTAGGAACCTGGTCCTCATGCCAGGAAGCCCAGGAGGCAGGCAAAACTCTGCGACAGTTCTTTTCCTTAGTCCTGGGGTTTGAGGGTCCTGCCTGGCATTCTAGATGCGGTGCAGTGGAGGCCACCGGAGTCACTGGGAAGCTGTAGTTAGCAGTGACTGAAAAGCTGTGAAGCAGTAAAAGGGGAAGAAAAGTCCAAAGTGCCTCCACCAGGCTACTCTAAGTGACCCTGTGCTGAGCTCAGGTCCCTTCCCCAGGGCAGCAGACAGTAGGTAACCAGAACTGGGAAATAAAGACTCTGAGGCTTCCACTGCCAGTATTTCAATATCCTGATTACACAATTTCAAGTAAATTCCAAGGCACAAAAGGCTGACTGTAGCTCGCCTCACAGTCTCAGACCATTTTTACTTAAATGCAGAGACGGCATGGCAGGAAAAGCATCATTTTGATATCTGCATGAAGCAAATTGACCAGGCAGCCTGGTGAACCAACTAGCAGTTTGGAGTGTTTGGAAACTGGATGCATTACAAATGCTGGGTGGGGCTAAAGTTCTTGTCAATGGGTAGAACATGTGTTCAGGGTACCAAGGAGCCAGAGGTTTGCAGTCAGGCCCATTTTTGGCTTTGCAGCTTTGTCTAAAGCACAATATAGATTTGAACTCCTGTTTCCTCTTTTGTGCAAAGCAATGATGACAGTATCTGCATAGCACATCTGATGTGGGAACCAAGGGAGATGGGGTACAATGCCTATGGCATAGCACATGGCTTAATATCCAGCCTTGCTGTCACTCCTGATGAGCAGGGCAATAGCACCCTTTGCCCTCAGCCTACCACCTCTTCCTGTCCCATTCTAACAGCTTTGGGGGACATCTGCTTTCACCTTTTATTCACTGCATTTCAGTATAGTCATGCAGAGGAATATATATGGGATGAAGATGGGAGGAGAGACATTCATTCTCTGGGAAAGGTTCAGCTAAGGCCAGGCCAGTTGCTTGTTAATGGTCTGGCCTACAGCCTTCGGTGCACTGTTTTCCGTTTTTCAGTCATACCACAGTTGGATAGTCAGCTGGTGGAGAGGCTTGGCCAACAGCTGTTGCCCTGGATGGACCAGCTCTCCAGGGAGCACCTGAACCCCAGCATCTATGTGGGCCTGCGCCTCTCCAGCCTGCAGGCTGGGACCAAGGAAGATCTGTACCTGCACAGCCTCAAGCTTAGTTATCAACGGTGCCTCCTGAGGTATTGTACTTTCTTTTTTTCCCCTTGTTTTGTTTCACATCCTAAGAGACAGGAGACCTGGGTCCTGGTGTGGGCCTGTCACTGTTTTGTTGGCAGACATTAGGCAAATTTTGTCATCTGTGGGTCTTTCTCTGTTTATAGAATGAAGGAGTTAGTAGGATGAATTAAAAACATACCACAGTGATATATGTATACTTATATTTATAGTAGCACAGTTTATAATAGCCAGATCATGGAAACCACGTAAATGCCCATTGACTGAGGGATGAATAAAAAAGATGTGATATTTTTATATAGTAGAGTACTACTCAGCCATAAAGAATTATAAACTGGACACTATTATAGGTAAATGGATGCACCTTGAGAACATACTCATTAGTGAAATAAATAAGAGACATATGTGTAAACATTGTATTGTTTTATTAGTGTGACAAGTTGAAGAAAAAACATGTATATGTGTATGAATATGTGTATAAAAATAGTTGAGATAGCTATGCTACTGATTTATCTGAGTTCACTGAAGAGAAAGATTTGTACCGATATTGTTCAGATAATTGAAGGCAGATGTCTTTTTTTTTGTTTGTTTGTTTTCTTTTTTATTGGTACTGGGGATCGAACTCATGACCGCCTGCTTGCAAGGCAGGTGCTTATGCCGCTGAGCTAAATCCCCAACCCTGAAGGCAGATGTCTTGTGCTCTGGGTGAATGATTTGGGAATGACAATACACAATGTGTGTACTATTGTTACTCCCTGACTGATGTACTTTAAAATTTTGTTGTACTTTCTCTTCCTCCTCCTTCTTCTTCTACTCTTCCTTCTCCTTATTCTTCTCCTTTTCCTCCTCCTCCTCCTTCTTCTTTTTGTTTCTTTGTATTTATGAATAGATTTGTAAAAAAATCAGATATTCTAATAGAGGGCCCTTGTACTACTGCTGCATGCTTTTATATGAGACAGACATTGCTAATCCTTAACCACACTCATCCTGAACCAAGAAACAGCTCCTGACTCTTGTTTCCCTCCTGTGCATGAAGCAGGCATCATTAATCTATGATTATACTCTTGCACTGATCATGGAATTAGCACCTGACTGTGTTTCCCTACTGTGCATGAGGCAGACATCATTAATCCATGACTGTTCTTTCGTCTTTCCTGTGTGTAAGGCAGACATTGCTAATTCATAACTATTCTTTCATACTCAGCCCAGAAGCAGCATCTTTTTGCTCCTTTCCCAAGGGGCATTAAGGAGAGGACTGTTCTGGGGTTTGAATGAACTTTGAAGAGTCAAGAGCAACTTCCTTTCGAGAAATGGATGTAAAGTGGGGAAAGGGACGAAAGGGAAGGGTGCATGAAGCACGGCCAAACCACGGGGCAAGCCCAGGTGATTTAAATGATGGTGCCCTCAGAATTACTCTTTGAGCTTACTTTTTCATCCATTTAAACGTCAGCTGGCCACACCTTACTTTTGGAAGTTCTAGCAATGTTTCCAATTGTTAGCATTTTTTCCACTTTGTGATGCATGTGTGGGGTACCCTAAATCAGGCTTACCAAAATGTTAACAGTTCAAAGTGGAATAAAAGTTCTTAATTTGCCTTGTCCTAGGCCTGCTACCAGCGATGACAACAGTGACTGCCCAACCAAGCCTTCCATGGGTCAGCTGGCCCTCTACATGCTCGCTCTCAGGGCTAACTGCGAGTTCATCAGGGGCCACAAGGGGGACAGGCTGGTCTCACAGCTCAAGTGGTTCTTGGAGGATGAGAATGGTGCCATTGGTGAGGGGACATCCTATTTTGGGTATGGGAAGGGGCTAGTAGGTCTTACCATGTGATATTCTTGGTAAGAACTAGAACTTGGGACTTTTTCCCCCCAGTCTCTTTCCCACTCTCCATTTACCTATCTCACTCTCCATCTAGATGTTCTTGCTGCTTCAGTAGCCATGCTTGATCCAGCCTTTCCTGAACCCTACCCCATATATACTCTGTTAGCCAATCCTGCTGCTCAGCTACCTAAACTGAGCTCCTACACTCACCTTCTAGGACACCTATCTACCTCCTTACTCCTTATACCTTGCCTGCTTCTTAGCCTTTTTCTACCGACTTTCTGGCCTCTTGATATTAACCAGCATGTAATAGCCAGAGTGAGGCTTTTAAATATAAATCCTATCTTGTTAGTGCAGCTGGTACCCTGCAGAGGCCCCTCACTGCTTTGCTAACAGCCTTCAGGCCATCCTGTCTGCCTTTTTCTCCTTTCTAGGCACTGCTCTGCTCGCACTCTCACCCACCTCTCTCTAGGGCACTGACCACACTGTCCTCTCAGCACAGGAGCCAAGGCCACATGATCTCTCCATCCCCTTCTAGCTCAGTCCTGCTCTGCCTTTTCCTCCTGCTGCCCCAATGTCACTTCCTTATGGAATTCTGTCCTGATTCCCAGCTATTCAAAAACATCTGTCATGTGGCTCCAGAGACCTCAGGCCACACATCTGAGTTCCAAGCATGCTCTGGTGGGTATGAGCGAGGACCAGTTGAGGCAGTGAAGTATCTCATGCTCTCTAAGAATATGCCATATCAAGGAGTGAAAGCAATGGCATCCCATGTGCTGGCTGCTTGCTGGGAGTTGGCAGAGGCAAGCTCTCAGGCCCGGCATAACAAGTCCACTTTGTGGCTTTCTTCAACCCAGGGCACAATCACAAAGGCCATCCCCATACCAGCTACTACCAGTATGGCCTCAGCATCCTGGCCCTGTGTGTCCACCAGAAGCTGGTTCGTGACGGCATTGTAGGCAAGCTCCTGTATGCTGTGGAACACGACCACCAGGACCATCTCTCTGTGGGTGAGTGGGATAAATCCTGTTGAAGACAGGCCAGCATTCTGTCAGCCCCCAGCCCCAGCTGAAAACCCCACACCCTGGCCTCATGCTTACCTTTCCCTGAGACTCCTTCTTATCAAGTCTCTTAAAGGGAAGTGGGGAGGGGGCTGAGGTGTGGGGCAGTGGCTTTGATCCTGACCCTAATCCATCACACATTCACTATAGGGCCTCCTGGGCAAGTCAGATGGCCTCACATATAAAATGACCTCCCAGAAACTATTGATAAGGGATGCCTTACAACCAAAGGGCTTGGATATGCCTGGCATAGAGAAAGTTCTGGGTGCATAGTAATATTCTCAGCACCATTCAAGTCAAGAAGCCTGAGAACTTGATTCAGGATCTGCTTCCTTATTGCATGATCTTAAGCCACTATTTCCTTTTCTTGCCATTGTTATTCAAGGTCTTTTCTAGGCCTGACATTCCATGAATGAGTGTGTTCCTTCACAGGCTGGAGTAGGATGCAGAAAGTGGAGGGGGTAGTTGTCCAGAGGATAGCAGCGGGGCCCTTGCCAGCACGGAGATTGTTTTGCCTCAGAACCTTGTGGAAAAATCACTGTGGAGCCACACATGGTGTGCGTACCTGTAAAGGTAGTTAATTGGGAGGCTATAGCAAGAGGATCACAAGTTCAAGGCCAGCCTGGGTAACTTAGACCCTGTCTTAAAATAAAAATGAAAAGGGGCTGAGGATGCAGAGCTCAGTGTAAAAGCCCTGAATTCAATTCCCACTACTACTACTATTAAACACACAAGAAAGGCAGAAAGGAAAATCTATTGTGATGCTGGGCATGGTGGTGTATGTCTGTAATCCCAGTACTCTGGAGGCTTAGGAAGGAGGACTGTTGTAAGTTCGAGGCCAGTCTGGGCTGCAAAGTGAGTTCAAGACCAGCCTGAACTACACAGTGATACCCTATCTCAAAAAGATAGAAAGAGAAAGAGAGAGAGAGAGAGAGAGAGAGAGAGAGAGAGAGAGAGAACAAGCAAGCAAGCAAGCCTATTGTGGATATGTGAAATTACCAGAAGAGGGTGAAAGCTTTTAAAAATCCCAGGACCTGGGCAACTCCCTATACTCATTAAATTGGGCTGCATGGAGTCAGTAGTTTGCTTAAAATTCCACCAGGGTTTCCATCTTCCAGCCAGGTGTGGGAAAGAATATTAAGAGGACACAGTCTTCTTGGACCTCCCTCTATCCATGTCGTCTTGAAAGGAACAAACCAACCAACCCAGTTTGCTGAGTCTTGAGAGGTTTCCTGGGATGTAAGACATTCAGGGTTCATACTTGAACTGGTGACACTCGCTGGTCTGACAGTGTTACCTGAAACTGCTTCAAGCCTTTCTGTGGCTGCCCATTGTCAAAAGGGTTTGAACCTTAAGGCCTTGCCTGGCTTGGTCTAGCTTGGCCCCATGTGGGTGTCTAGGTCATCATAGGTCTTGTCCCTCTCCAGACACAGTGGCCATGGCAGGCTTGGCCTTTATCTGCCTTGAGCGCTCTTCCTTCAACCCTGATCTGAGACAGCGGATCTCCACGGCTATTGGGACAGTGCAGGAGAAGATCCTGAAGGCCCAAACCCCTGAGGGCTACTTTGGGAATGTCTACAGCACCCCACTGGCACTGCAGGTGGGAAATAGACCCTGGAACCCTGGTCATCCTTGGGGGTAGGGGTGGGGTGGGGTGTCCTCTGAAATGGGAAGTGAGGGGTGCGGTGGCCAGGGGTTGAAGATCTGGCTCCCCCCTACCAGCTGACTCACCTCTTCTCTCTTTGCCCCACCTCTCGCAGTTGCTGGTGTCTTCCCCCATGTCTCGGGTGGATCTGGGCACCGCATGCCTTAAGGCAAGGGCAGCTCTGCTGGTCAACCTGCAGGATAAAGCCTTACAGAATCCTATCATAATTTCCCAGCTGTTGCCTGTCTTGAACCACAAGACCTATGTGAATCTCATCTTTCCAGACTGCCAAGCGCCAAGAGGTAGCCAAGCTCTTTACAATTTGCTGAGCACTCATTGATGTGTGCCTGTCCCAGTGAGGGGAATTTGCTGGGTTCTGATTTGCAGGGGCCACATGAGTTTGTGGGTGTGTGTGGAACATAGTGGCTAAAATGGGGTCACAGCTTCTGTCATGGGTGTCTAACCTGCCAGGGCTGTACTGAGTGAAGAGGAACTATCCTAGAATGCATATAAAATACATAATAGAGTTAATATTTACCAGTAACAAAATTTCCTTTTTAATTTTTAACTTATTGCCGGACATATTGACATATGCCTGTAATCCCAGCACTCAGGAGGCTGAGGCAGGAGGATACCTGCAGGTTGGAGGCCAGCCTGGGCTACATAGTGAGTTTCAGACCAACCTGAACAATATAGTGAGACCTTGTCTCCAAAAAAGACAGATACAAACAGACAGAGAAAGAGGAATAGAGAGACGGATAGGGATTGATCTGAGGAGGTGAATGGAATGCCAGTGGACAAGGGAGAAGGGAGGTCAGAGCAGAGGGGAAGCAGCAAGATCAAAGGCACAGAGAAGTAAGGACTTTAGGAGAACATTTTGCAAGAGTGGTGTCTGTGGGGGAGTAAGCAGGAGTATCAGGCAGGAGAAAGACAAAAGACTGAAGTCTGGGGCGCAGCTCAGTGGTGGAGCACCTGCCTGGCATGCTCCAGGGCCTGAGCTTGGTTCACAGCACTGCAAAAAATAAAATAAAACAAAGTAAAATAAAATGAGGTGAGGCCATTAGAGGTGACAGGGGAGTGACAGGAAGAAATGTGTGCTCTTCAGAGAGTCCTCTGGCAGATAAGTGGGAGGGAGATTCCAGAAGCAGAGAGAAGAGTGAGGAACCTGCCTGTGGGAGGTGGAGAGATATGGAGGCTGAGGGACCAGGGGAGCCGGGTTGACAGCCAGGCTTCAGCCGAGCAGATGGTCACGGCATTGGGAAGGACATAGGGAAGGATATGGTCCAGATGGGCCACAGCATCTTCAAGGGAGGGAAGGAGGACTCACATCCGGGCCCTGTCCTTACACCAGCTGTCCCTTCTTGTCTCCCTGGCACAGGGCTGCTGGGAGCAGCTCCTGAGGACTCCTCCTTGATCCACGTCCCAGAGGTCATCAGTGTAACACTGAAGGTCTCCAGCGTCTTGCCGCCCTACGAACAAACCATCTCAGTGCTGGCCAAGTCCTCCTTGGAAGACATTCTGAAGAAGGCCCAGGAGCTAGGGAAATTCACGTGAGGACCCCCTCCCCCCAGCCCAACTGCCATCAACCTTACATACCTGAAATGGTGTCATAAAAAGGATGGGGCGGGGGGCTGAGGATTTAGCTCAGCAGCGTAAGCTCCTGCCTTGCAAGCGTGTGGTGGTAAGTTCGATCCCCAGTACTGATTAAAAAAAAAAATGGGACAAAGAGGATTCCTCTGGGAGCAGCACTGCTTCCCCTTCTGCACTCCTTTCTCCTGTTTACTGTCATGGAAACTGGAACTGTGGGCCAGCATTGTCATTAAGAGAGCAAGTTCCCGAAACATAGTCTCTGCATTGGAACCCAGATCTTATGCCCTCCAGCTAGGGTTCCCAAACTCAGTGAGGAAGCTGAGTATGCTCCCTTCCTTACAGGACCAATATGAGGAGCCCAGGAATTAGTGCACTTAAGAGATCTTGGCACATGCCTTTCATATGTGCAGGGTTTAGCATGTACTAAGCACTCAATACAGGTCAGCTTTCATAAATGTAAGAATTTTAAAAAGCCAGGCATGGTGGCTCACACCTGTAATCCCAGCATTCAGGAGGCTGAGACAGGGAATTGCCCAGAGTTCTAAACCAGCCTGATTACAGAGTGAGAATCTGTCTAAAAGAAAAAAAAAATTTTTAATATTGAATAATCTTAGCCAGATATTGTGGCAAATGCTTGTAATCCCAGTATTCTGGAAGACTGTGGCAGGAAGATCACAAATTCAAGCCCAACCTGGACATTTTCTTAAGACCTTGTCTCAAGTCAAGCATGGTAACACACACTTGCAACCCCATTGCTCTAGATGCTGAGGCAGGAGAATTACTGCAAGTTTGAGGCCAGCCTGGGCTACATAATGAGTTCAAGGCCAGGCTGAACTTCACAGCAAAAATAAAAAGAACAATAACAAACCCCACAAGACCCTGCCTCAAAAACTGCTGGGGATGTAGCTCAGTGCCAAGGCCATGGGTTCCTTCCCCATACAGGACAGAAACAAACAAACTTGCTTCTCACCATGAGATCTAACAAGTCTGAGAAAGAACATGTCTAGGTCACCACTCCTAATAAGATGAACATGATTCTCATGTTACCAGGAAAGACTCTGACTGAGAGAAGTTGAGCACCTTTTATCAGGTCACCTCTTCCCTTGACTTCTCAGGAAAGAGAGGACCCCAATTTCTGTGCCAACCAAAATTCCCAGAAAAAGCATCCTGCAGCCAAGGAGACGCCTTGAGGGCTGGGCGTGGTGTCCCACGCCTGTATAATACCAGCACTCGGGAAGATGAGCCCACAGGTTTGCCATGAGTTTAAAACCAGCCTGGGTTACATAGTGAAATCCTGTCTCAAACAAACAAACTCTCCCGAACCCTATGTTAAATGATTTGGATGTGCATCACTAGGTTTACTAAATACCAAGTCCTTTTGCTTTCTTCCCCTAAACAGCTATAAATCCTAACAACTTTGCAAATTAAACAGAAAGGAAAGTAGAAAAACCAATAATGTTTAGGTAAGGGCCATCAGCAGGAGTGCAGATTTATACTGCCAGGCCAGGTGATCTCCCCTCCCTTGTACTGGAGCCACCATTACACTGGCTTCCGCAGCTCCCTGGGCTCCTGCTGGGCCCAAACACTTGGTTCCCTGCCAGGCCCTCCCGTCCCTGTCTGTCTTCCTGTGTCTCCTGCAGCGCAGAGTGGTGCAGTCACTGGCAGCTACAAGACTCCTGCTGAGCGCCTTGGCCCAGCTCCGTCCAGCAGATGTGAAAATTACCCAGAGCTTAGTAGTACTTGTGTTTGGATATTGTCATTAAAAGGAAAAGCAAATACAATTTCACATTTTTTATTCAGAGCTTCGAGAAGCTCTGAGAAGCATCATGGACGCCCACCTGAAAAACGGTTCTTTCCTAGTGCAGGTGGGCGACTGCACTGAGTTCAGGAGCTACGTGGGAAGGACGTGAGTACTCAGAAGAGAAAGCTGCACTGCAGAGTCACACAGAAGTGAAGGGAGGTGGCCCAGAGCTGCCATGTGGCCTGGCAGAATTGAAGAAGGAGCAGAGACAAGAGCTGCTTGTGGACATTCCCGGAAGAATACAGTCCCTCTACATCTGCAGGCTCCACGTCCTCAGAGCCAATCAACTTTGCACTGAAAATATTAGGAAAACAGTTGTGTCTCAACTGCACATGCACAGACTTCTTGTCATTGTTCCCTAAGCAACCATTTACATAGTGTTTCATTATATTAGTAAATGTAAGATCTAGAGATTATTTAAAGCATATGAGATGATTCACATAGGGTTTATGCAACTGCTAGGCTATTTTATATAAGGGGCTGAGCATCTGTGAGTTTTGTGTCCCTGAAGGGAGAGAGTCCTGAATTTAATTCCCAGGACCAACATCCTGTCCTCTAAAAAAGCCAAACAAACAAACGAACCAACTCAGAAGCCCACTTGGGGTTACTTAGGCTATGGGCAGGTACAGTCCTTCCAAGTGAGCTTCTAGGTTGGTCTATTTGGTTAATTTTGAGGGGAGGGAAGAGGTTTGTCCTGGGGATTAGACCTAGGACTTTCCTTTAAGCTGAGCTATACCCCCAACCCATTTTTATTTTATTTTATTTTGTCTTTTATTGTGACAAGGTCTCTCTATGCAATTCAGGATGGACTTGAGCTCACTTTGTAACCCAGGCTTGTCTTGAACTCATAAAGATCCTCCTGCCTCACCCTCCCAAGTGCTAGGATTATAGGCATATACCACCATAGCCAGTTTAATTTTTATTTTTAGTCAGGGTCTCACTAAGTCCCTAAGTACCCCAAGCTAGGCTTGAATTCACAATCCTCCTGCCTTAGTCTCCCAAAGTGCTGGGGTATCTCCAGCAATGGGGAGTGAGGAGTGTGTAGAATCAGAGCAGACTTAGCAACTCAACCCCTAAAGGAAAAGCCCCGAGCCATGGAAACTTCCAGAACAAGAGATCCACTCCTACACCAGTGCCTCTGCCTCTGTTCCTCTTGTCCCTGTGACTCTGTGCACTGGCCTCACCCTCTCTTGAACTGCACACTGGCTTCTGTGAGGTGCCAGGGGCCTTTTGCTTTTCACCCCCACAGTGCACCCTCCAGAGAGGGGACAACTGCTGCGTTGATAGGGTAATAGTTGTCTCTTCCTGGAGGCCACGTCATGGTCAACGGAGGATGACACCTGAGTGGCAGCATCAGTGGTCCTGGGGAGAAATGTGTAGAAGACCCATGGATCTATAGTGAGATGGCCCAGAAGGGTCTTGGCTAGTGCTGTCCCTGAAGGACAGGGCAAAATTTTTGTGATGGTGTGGGTGAGTTCACTTCTGCCCTTGGAAATAACAGTCACCTCTCGTCACCTTCCCCTTTGCTAGGTATGGAACTCAGGCCTCCTTGTCTGGTCCCTTCCTGACCTCTGTGATGGGGAAAGTACCTGGGGACCGAGAGTTCTGGCAGCTCCTCCGAGCTCCTGACACCCCTTTGCTGCAAGGTGAGTCTGGTGGCTGCCACCCATTCCTATTCCTACCTGACCAGCAACTCACTCCACTCAGCTTGCCTTCCTCCCTGCTTCCCCTCTGTTCTGCTCTCCCTTCTCCTTGTTCTGGCAGTCTTCAGATCTCTGTCTCTCTCTGTCTCTGTCTGTCTGTCTGTCTGTCTGTCTCTCTCTCTCTTTCTCTCCAGTACTGAAGATTGAATCCAGGATCATTGGAATTTTGCCAAATCCCAAAATGGCCCAGGCTGGCTTAAACCTGCCAACCTCTTGATGCTGCCTCCAAAACTCTAGGATTACAGGCACATATCTCTACACCTGGCTGATATTTTAAAAACTAAGTAAAATTTCCAGATGTGATAGTACATGCCTGAAATCCCAGCATTCAGGAGCCTGAGACAGGAGGATCTCCATGAGTTCAAGGCCAGCCTGGACTATATAGTGAATATAACACTGGCCTGAACTGGAGTAAGACCCTGACTCAAAAAAATAAAGCAAAAATCATACTTCCTATATATGATATTTAATAGATTCAACAATGTGTGTAATCTAAAATTTTCTAGTTACAGAAGCTAATACTAACAACATATCTTATTTAACCCAATATATTATAAAATTATTATTCCAAAATGCAATCAATGTAAAATTATTAATCTAAGCTTTACATACTGGGCAGTTCTAGACTCTACCTTTTATCCCTTTAGCCTCCCCACAGCTAGAGGAAAAAAGAAGCGACTTAGACATTTCTTCTCATTTATATTCCCAGTGAACCAAAGGTATAAGTCCCTTCTCAGCTGTAGTGTTTTGAGTTTCCTCCTGTTTTGTACTGCTCAGGTTGCTGTGACAAAATTCCATGAACTGGATGCTTCTAACCAACAGAAATGTATTTTTGCACAGTTGTAAAGGCTCAAAAGTCCAAGATCAAAGAGCCAACAGCTCTGGCATCTGACAAAGATCTGTTTTAATATTTGGCAACTTTTAGCTGTGTCCTCACATGGTAAAAGGTTGGCAGCACTATGGGCCTGGTTTATTTTAGTTTTGTTTGCTTGGTTTTTGAGACAAGATCTTGCCGTATAGTCAGGCTGGCCTTGAACTCACTATATGTTCCACGCTGGCCTTCAATTGTGGCGGTCCTCCTGCCTCAGCTTCCTAAATCCTGAGCTCAGGTCTCTTTTAAAAGCCACTATCTCTGCCAGGCATGATGGCACACCTCTGTAAGCCCAGTACTCAGGAAGCTGAGGCAAGAACATCTCCTCAAGTTTCAGACCAGCCTAGGCCAATAGAAAATTCAAGCCAGCCTGAACTACATGGTGAGACCCATTTATAAATATATGCATGCATACATATGTACGGTAATCCAATTCTTGAAGTTTCCACCCTGGTGACCCAAATACCTCACAAAGGCCCCTACCTGTAATACCTTCCCTTTGGTGCTTAGGTTTCAACGTATGAATTTTGTGAGGGAGCTTGGCATTCAGATCATGGCATGTCCATGAAAAAGCACCTGGATTCTCAGAGGAGCCTTCCAGCTCCCCTGTGGGCTATGAGTTTGATTTCTGATTTTTTTCCATGCTGGATACAACCTGGGGTTCATGCATTCTAGGCAGTGCTCTGCCACTGAGCTCCATACCCAACCCATTGTTGGTAATGTCATCCTTCCCATTTCACTAGGGAGAACACCAGCATGCATCGGTTAAGTAATTTGCTCGTGATGCTAATGAGTGACAGGGCTAGGGCTTGAACCTAGGAGTCTTACTGGAGTGTGAATCCTCTAGAGCACAGAAGGAGACTTCATCTGTGGTCCTGGCTCTCCATCCAGACAACACTGAGCAAGTCCCTCCTCCTGATGGCCCTGGAGGTGTTACAAAGGCAGTGTCTCTGCCCATCAAGCATTGTCTCTGCCCATCAAGCATTGTCAGGGTCCTGGTTTCTTCTGCCCTGTGTTTGTTATCCATCATGGAGCTTGGTGTCCCTGTTCTCTGTGAGCTCCACACTGCAAAATGAGCCTTTTAAACCTGGTTCCAGCTCGCTACTACCAACTCCTGAGCACATCTGACAGACCTTGGCTTCAAGGTTGGGGTTCAGATGATGAGAATGGCGGGGGGGCACTGCCTGTTAAGCCTATATGCCATGTATTTCTGCAGGTATTGCTGAATACAAACCACAGAATGGAGAAACCATCGAAATAAGACTGGCTAGCTGGTAGCCATGGGTCTTCTCACCCTAGCAGTCTCGCACACTCCCTGGGCTTCTGTCCCCTTCCTGACCCTGTAGTCGCCTCCTAGACTCTGGAGCAATGTCCCAGAACACCTCATCTACCACCTCTGCGAGGATCTAAACCACAGCTCACACTGGAGCAGGGAGCCAAGCACCTCCCCTGGGAAGCCTGGCCCTGCAGGTGTCATGAAGTCTGCCCCAAGGTCTGAAGGACCTGTGACTCTCCTCTCAGACTCCTCAGCAGAAGGAGGAGAGGAAGTCTGTCTGCTGCAGCATCATGAGTACCACTGCTCGGGGACTGAGCTCCTGCAAGGGGCCTCCATGCCCCAGGGACTGCAGCCCTGACCCAAGGTCTCCACTCTGTTGTCACCATAGTGGCCCTAGAGCTGGTTGTAGTTGCAGTGGCTGGTGAGGCCTCAGCAGGGTTGCTTGATGCCTACTTCTGAAATGATTAAAGTCTTAATTATCTGAGCATGCGCTGCAGCCTCGTGATGCCTTATGACTCAGCAAGCTTGGGAAGGTGGCAAGAAGGGCAGATGCCCCAAGGGCAGGAGGGGAACACAGGAGAACACTCAATGTGGCTTCAAGAAGGGGAGGATGTTGGCTGTGGCAGCCCTGACTGCCATTTATTGAGCACCTACTTGCTAGACACTGCTGGCACAACTCTGTGAGTCCTTATGATTTGTGTGTGTGTGTGTGTGTGTGTGTGTGTGTGTGTGTGTGTGTGTTTGAGACAGTTTCACTATGCAGTTCAGGCTGGCCTTGAACTCACATTGTAGCCCAGGCTGGCTTCAAAAAATCAGAGCAATTCTCCTACATTAGCCTCCTGAATGCTGGAATTACAGGCGTGTACCACCACACATAGTAGTCCTTAAAATTTTTATTCTCATCTCTGATTTACAGACAAAGAAATTAGTATTGCAAAAGGGAAAGTGACTCACTCAAGTTCCCAGATGAGGCAATAATGCTGTGGAAGGCAGGTAGTGTGGCTCAGGAGATGTGGCCATGAGCCTGAGCTGGGCATGATGTAGCCAGTAGAGAGGCTGACGCAGGAGAATGTTTGAGTCCAGTGTTTGAGGTCAGTCTGGGCAACGTGGCAGGACCCTGGCTCAAAGAAACAAAAACAAAGCCAGATGTGGTGGTGTATACCAGTGATCTCAGCACTCTGGAAAGCTGAGGCAGAAGGATTGCAAGTTCAAGCCCAGCCTGGGCAATTTAGTGACTTAGTTTGATCCTGTCTTCAAATAAAAAAATAATTTTTTAAAATGTTTTTATGTATTTATTTATTTGTCTTTTTTGAGACAGGGTCTCACTATGCGGTTCAGGCTGGCCTTGAGCTCACTTTGTAGCCCAGGCTGGTCTCGAACTCGCAACGATCCTCCCACCTCAGCCTCCTGAGTGCTGGGATTACAGGCATGAGCCACCACGCCTGGCTAAAAAAAAATAATTTAAAGGGTTGGAGATGTAAAGACCCTGACTTCAATCCCACACAGTATTTCCCACACATGAAAAGGAAAGAAAAAGAAAGAAAGAAAGAAAGAAAGAAAGAAAGAAAGAAAGAAAGAAAAGGAAGAAAGAAAAGAAAGAAAGAGAGAGAAACCACAAGCATGAGTTGGAGAAGCTACCTGGCTCCTCTACTCAGACATAGAAAACTGGGGATTCAGTGGTCATTGATTGAATGGCAGAGTCCCAGTTTAACTAAAGGCCAGAGTCACTCCCTGCTTTTAGCTAAGGCACCCTCAGGGCACTGCCACAAGCCTCTGCAGCCAGAATATGGGGACTCTGCTTTTCATTGAGCATCTGAGGCTCTGGACTCCCCTCTGGGTGTGGGGTTCAACCCAGGGATCCATCCTCTGTGCCTCCTTCCACCAAGGTTAAGAACAGGCCTGTCAGGGAAGTAACATACTTGGAGTCTTCAAAGCTGCTGATTAAATATCTGCCTCTTCCTAGGGCAGTAACTTCAAATACCTAGGGTCAGGGAGTTAGGGGAAAAAGTGACTGAAATGTTCTTCTGTGCTGGAGCAAACAGGAGAGTCACAAGAAGCCCAGGGAAAGTTGTCCTTTTTTTTTTTTTTTTTTTAATTGGCCTGTTTTTAAGGTGGAATGCCTTAATGCAGAATCCTGGAATGCTTGTTCATTTGCACTCCATAATCATGATGGTGAGGAGGGATCAGGACCTGCCCTGTGACCTTCCTGTCACAGAGAGATGGAGACTCAGAGACCCTACCAGCTTGATGCAGATCATATAGTCTATAGGTGAAGGAACTGAAATCCTCAACTACTGGTCCCGGTCCATGACACTTGGTATTTCACCTCTGTCCTGTCCCTTTGCACCTTAAGACAGGACCTTCTCATTCAGGAGATTGGCTGTGCCTGGCTAAAGGAAACTGAAGGGTCCAGGAGCTGGGTTTGCACCTCTCTCCAAGAGACTGTCTTAGTTGGAGTATGTTGGCTCTGAGCAGGAAGCTGCTTAATCTTGCTCATGTCAATGAGTATTTGTTGGAAAGACCCAGCCAGCCCCCAACTCAGATGCAGCTCAGAGTGACAGGAAACTTGAGGCTGGTGGTTGGATCTCCTTCACCTCCACTACCCTCAGCCTTTCTACCTCTGCAGTTCCTCTGAGTTGCAGACCCAGCCTTTTGCTTTTCCAGTACTGGTGATTGAATGTAGGGCTGCTCTACCACTGAGCTATATCCCCAGTGTTTTTAAAATTTTTTGTTGAGACTGCATCTCACTAAGTTGCCCAGACTGGACTTTAACTTGGATCCTGCCTGCCCTCCAGAGTACAGGGATTACAAGTATGCACCATCATGTCTAGCTTCCAGCCAGGACTCTATCACCTTACAATTCAAGCACCCTTTTTACTTTCTGAGTCTAGATCCCTAGCCTCCTGGGCCGCTGGGTCACGTATCTAGTCTGGAACGATTAGCAGGAACTCAAAGAAACCAAGGGTGAGAGGATACTGTTGAGTCTGAGGGGATATTCCTCCAGGTCTAGGGATCAGGCTGTATCTAGCCTGCTGTCTTAGTCACTTTCCCATTGTTGTGACACAATACCTGACACCTACAAAGTAAAGGAGGAAAGGTTTCTTTCATCTTTCAGTTTGTAGAGATTCAGTCCAGGTCCTCTGGTCCCATGGCAGGTGGCACGGCAGAGGTGCGTCACAGGGAAGAAACAGGTTATATCACTGTGGTGGGAAACAGAGAGAGGTGGAGGAAAGAAGAAGGGAGACAAACCCTTGTGAGCCACACCCCCAGTGACCCTCCTCCTATGACCAGGCTTCACCTCTGACATCACATTGAGCTATAAACTCCTCACTGAACTAATCCACTCATGAGTGTCACACCCACATGATTCAATCACCTCACAAAGCGCCAAACATGAGTGCATGAAGCTGTGGGGGACACGTAGATGTAAACCATAGCAGCTGCATTTAGAACTGAATGACCCTAGATTAACCACTTCTACTCTGAAGCCTGTTTCCTAACTCACAGCTGGGGGTGGCTTGGTTTACAGCACGTTCATCCCTAGGATCACATCACAGATCATGCACCAGGGAACCGAGGCCAGAGTCATGTAGTAAAAAGAAGAGAGGCCCACCCCACAGCTTCTGTGGCTGGCTGCTTTCTTTCTCCCTTCTTGACATCCCCCGAGTTCCTCTCCAAGTCACTTGCTTCCCATAGCACCACCATGGGCCCCTTAAAGGGCTCAGATTTGAGGGATTTGGGCAGCTGTGAGTAAACAGTCTGCTCTGAGCTTCCAAATTGACTCCCAGGAATGCGAAGGAGACCCCTCGGACCTCCATGGAGCTGGGCACCACAGCCTGGACACCTGGCTTCCTCAGCCAAGCTCGGTCTGAAGAGCAGATGAGACAGAGCCCTCCACCAGCAGCCTACGGTGTTTTCTTCAGTAGCCCTGCCCTGCTGGGTTCTCAGTGGGTGTGGCCACTGCTGGTGTTCTCCTTTGCGATCTACCCTCAGATTGCCCCACACCCGGGATGTGCAGCCTCTTCATTCCATCTACACTTCCCTCCCTCAGTACCTTGCTTTATTAATCTGCTTTCCTCATAGCCAACTTTCTCCAGCAGGTAGGTGGGGGCTACTTTGTTGTGGTTTGTTTTGTTTTGTGACAGGGTCTTGCTGTGTAGTTTAGGTTAGCCTTGAACTCACTGTGTAGCTCAGGCTGGCCTCAAATTTGAAGCAGTCTTCCTGCCTCAGCCTCCCAAGTGCTAGGATTACAAGTGTGTGCCACCATGCCCAGAGTTGTGGTTTTGAAGGCAATGTAGATAGTCTCTCTGCCCAGCACCCCCACCTGCTCAGCTCTGAAAAGGTCAGGGTGTTTTTATTGTTCTTTTGTTTTGTTTTGACGGGGAGAGGATTGAGGCAAGGTCTTATTATGTAGCCCAGGCAAGCCTGAAACTTGTGATCCTCCTGTCTCAACCTCCTAAGTACTACTATAATTACAGGAGTACATTACGTCACACCTGGCTTGTTTTTTTTTTTTTTTTTTTTTTTAGTATTTTTTTAATGCAAGAAACAGAAAACAGAAAAATTCCAAAAAGAATATCGCTCATAAGGGACCCAGATTCCTTCTACTCAAGAAAGAGCCATGACAGTAGGAGCATCTCCCTTGGCTGGTGCAATTTCCCTCAGAATTCCTGTAGGAAAAGCCTGAACGTCCCTCTACTTTGCTCCTCAGCCTGAAAATTCGTCTCCACCCCTGTCCTGCGGTTTGGGCCATTCAGTAATCTGCCGATTCCAGCAGGCATCAGGATCCTCAGAGGCAAATGAGACAGTGCAGATTCTTGGGCTCAACCCCAACAGAGAGGTCTGAGTCCTTAGGTCTCCCCAGAGGCTCCCCACCTCTCCCCGGTCTAAAGGCTATTCAAGATACTGGGGAGCCGGTGTTCTCAGGCATTCGGGAGCCTGACCACCAGAGGGCACAGCAGACAGGACTTGGCGGCTCCCCTTTACAGTCCAGATCGGTTCGGATCATCAGGGACTTGCTGGCCCGCCAACAGGTGAAGGTTGAGCTGTATCCAGGTGTGGTGGAGCTTTCTTTTTGTAGGGAAAGGAAACGTGATGACTGAAAGAGGCTCGCAGCAAGCACTGGACTCACGCTGGGGCTTTAGTCGTTGTTCACCTGGACTCCAGAGCTCAGAGAGGCCAGGGCCAGGCCTGGAATCTGGGTCAACCGGTCCCCCTCTAGGGGCACTATTTACCAAAACCTGAATTCAGAGAGCATCTGTCGATCGGATAGGACAACTGAAATCTAGTGAAAGGCAACGACTTGGGAAGTTGCTTTGCCTCCCAGCTATGGCTCTCTGTCACCAGGCCTGGGGGGAGGGGTGGACCTCAGGAGTCCATCTACTTGTCGGCTCTGAGTGCCCAGGGGCGGAACAAGGATTGCAGGCCAGGGATGGAAGCCAGCCGGCGGTACTCTGGTTTCGCAGCCGCGAGTAGCCCTAGTGATTCAGCTTCCCTTTGCTGCCCCAGATGGGGCACCGCCCTGGGCTGGGATGCTGGGATAGAAGAGACGATGGAAAGACTGTAAGGGACCCCGTGGTCCAGCTGTGCTGGATGTCGAGATCACACAAGATAACTATGACTGGGGATCAGCTGAGCCTGAAACTTGTCCTAGGATGTGGCCTGTGGGTTCCCCTTAAATGCCCCATTCGGTGAAGAGGGCTCTGTGGTTACTCCAGTGTTTCCAGCACTGTGTGTGGGTCTCCGTGGGGAACGCTGGATAGAGTCTCCAGATGAGGCAGGGAGACAGGATAGGGTGACAGCTCCAGCCAGGGTCCCTGACCGCCCGAGGAGCGGAGGAGGGCGGGGGAGGAGCCACGCACCGGCCGGTGAGGGAGGGGCTGCGAGCGCGCGGCTGGGGGCGGGGCGAGAAGGTCCCCCGGCTCGGGGGCGGGTTCTGGCCAGGGTGGGGTGGGCACTGGGGTCTCAGTCCTACTGTACGGGTGGGGCGCGGAGGAGGTGGGGCTGAGAGCGCCCCGCCTGGCTGGGTTGGGCTTGAAGCCGGGCGGGAGGCTGGAGCCGCAGCCTCAGCGGAGCAGGCTGGAGCCAGATCCCCGAGTGCAGCGCAGACCCTGGGGGAGCCAACTCGAGCTCGCCTTCGGGCACCGGTCGGAGCGCGCCGGGGCTCGCGTGTCAGCCGCATCTCCCTGACGCTTTTGGGAGCAGCGAGCCGCGACTTCCCGGGTACCACCAGTCGCGGAGTCCTCACAGCCTCTGCCAGGCCTGCTTACGGCCTGAGCACACAGGAGGACCGGGAATCAAGATCTCCACCCTCACGGAGGAAAAAAGGAAAAAAAAGAGCATAGCGTGAACACTGGGCAAGGAGGAGAGTGAAGACTTCACCTGGCACCAGGAAGAGGTACGGAACTTCCTAGATACTGGTGTTCCTGGCTTCCCAGCCAGCAGCCACGATCTCAGATCTGCCCGTTTTGTGGGACACGGGCAGCTTAGCTTCCAGATCTCCTCTTGCCAAGGCCTGGTGAACATTGGTGCCCACACCTGAGACTGGCCCAGGGCCCAAGAAACAGTATCTGGCCGAGCCCAAAGCTGGGATCTCTGGTAGCCCGGAGCTGGTCACTGGGGAGGCTGCCTCCTGCTCCAGACCCACCGGTGCGGATGGGCCGCTGTCCTCCGGAGCACCATGAAGACAGGATGACCTCAGCCGAAGCAGTAGCAGTGACTGGAAGTGCTCGAGTGGCTGGACCCCCTGAGTGGTCCCATGGCAGCCCCCAGGTCCTCAGGCGACCTGGCAGGGCCCGGGTGGCTGTGGCAGCGCTGGTGTGGTTGCTGGCGGGAGCCAGCATGTCAAGCCTTAACAAGTGGATCTTCACCGTGCATGGCTTCGGGCGGCCCTTGCTGCTCTCAGCACTACACATGCTGGCAGCAGCACTGGTGTGTCACTGGGGGGCACGGCGCCCCATGCCACAGAGCACTCGCCGCGAAGTGTTGCTGCTCAGCCTCACCTTCGGCACCTCGATGGCCTGTGGCAACGTGGGGCTAAGCACTGTGCCCTTGGACCTGGCACAGTTGGCCACTACCACCACTCCATTGTTCACACTGGCCTTGTCTGCACTGCTGCTTGGCCGTCGCCACCATCCACTGCAGTTTGCTGCCATGGGCCTTCTCTGCCTGGGGGCTGCCTGCAGCCTGGCGGGAGAACTCCGGGCACCCCCTGCAGGCTGTGGCTTCTTACTGGTGGCCACCTGCCTCCGAGGCCTCAAGTCTGTTCAGCAGAGTGAGTATCTTCCATTCAAGGAGATAAAACTTGGGGTGGGTGGTTGGCCTGGAGGTCCCTGTGAGGGGGTGTGGCTGTTGTCCCATATTACAGATAGAGAGACTGAGGCTCATAGAGGGCTAAAGAGCTCAGTGATTTCCATTTAGGCCCCAGACTGAGGCTCTCTAGAGGCCTAGCCAATCTTTAATAATAGTTGCCAGTGGTCTGTGTTCCATGCCTTGTCAAGCCTTTTATCTCCCTGGAGCCCTTGATCAATGAATGGTACCATATTGTCCCCTTTGTAGAGTGGTGGAGGGATTGCTTAGGGCCATGTGCTAGTGAGCAGCAGTGGAAAGGTTTATGCCACCACTCAGAGTCCATGCTGTCCAAGAGATTCGATATAAGATGGAGCCAGATGGAGGAGAAAGAAAGAACAGACTGTTGTTGTAAGCTAGGGTTCGGAAGGCAAGGGTTTGGCAGAATATGGAAAGTGCTGATGTTTACTAGGAGCTATAATGTGGCAGGTCTAATGCTGGATGTTGATCTTCAGTTGTCATAGCAACCACCACCTTACTTCCAAGTGATGGAACTGAGATCCAAAGAGATTTGTGACTGGCCCAGGATCACATGGCTCCTAAGAACTTGAGGTCTAGTCTGTGAGACTCTGGCTCTAATGAGAACTGACAGTGGGATTCCAAGCAGCAGGTAGGGCCACAGCTCCAGACCTAAACCCTGCTAGATCAACCTGCCTGAGGATGGAACCTGGGGTCCATGGAGGGGTCTGCCACAGAGGGATAGCTGAGTTACTGCCCCCACCCTTTCTCTGTTTCAACCCTAGGGAGGTCTGAGTATTTAGGGAAGGGAGGCCTGGCTTCCAGTTGAGCCTTTACGCATACTTGCTAGGTGACCTTGGGCAGGACCAGGCCTTCTCTGGGCTTTAGGCTTCCCTCCTGTTCAGGAGTAAAGGGTCAGTTAATGTGGAGTCCCAGGAGACTCTGGTATCCACCCCACAAGCCAGCTGAGATAATCTGTGACTCAGGCCTGGAAAAAGGAGGAGAGGAGCTCTCCAAGGTTGGTGGTTTGACTTGGGGGCTGCCTGAATGAGGAAATATTGAAGTCAGAGCTCAGCCTTTTCCTCATATCTTCAGAGCCTGGACCCAGAGGTCTTGTCCCCACCTTCTCAGGCCTTGAGGCAGGGCCAAAACCCAGTTCTATTTTTGCCCTCAGGTTACATGAGCTGGAGTCTGAGCTCAGGCATGAGCTCTGGGCATGATTCCGCTCCAGGAAACCTGACCCTGTGGGCCCCTCCTGGGCAGGGACATGAGGCTGAGAAGGTCCCCACCTCTGGGGCTACACTGCACCTGCCGAGGTCCAGAACTCCTAACAGAGCCCTTGGCAACCCAGGTCTGTAGGAGGGGCCATGGCCAGCCAGGCCTCAGGGTTCTTGGGCATGAAGGGGCATGTACCTGGCTTCTGCCAGCCCCCTCTCCCTCTAAGTCTCAATTGCCTCACCTGGGTGGCTGGAAGGCGGTATACTTTCTGGGCTCTAAATGCCCTCTGTGATTGTTATACCTGGATTACCTGTCTGCTTCCCACTAAATAGGCTTTGGGGCATCTTGGGGTCCTCAGGATCTGACCTGGGGGGTAAAACAGGGCAGCTACTTCTTAAAGGATGAATTTATTCATGGCCCTGATAGCCTCATTGGTACGCTAAGTTATGCCACATGGCTTGAAGCACTAAGGAGGGAGCTTAGGAAACTGGAGGTCTCACTAACATTGAAGGGAGCCTGGTTGAGATGGGGAGGGATAACTGGAGCTAGGGGCTGAAATAGGTTTTGAGAAGCATATTTGGCCTAGGTGCAAGGGCCAGCTTCAGAGTGTAACTGACTGATAGCTGCTCCTTTACTGAGAGTAGACAACAGATGAACAGAGGATAAGAGTTCAGGAAGAGAAGAAATCAGGCATCTGCACAGAGCTAGCAGTTTCCCTCCAACCTGGGCCAGTTGCAGATCCAGGAGGGTGATGTGAGGAGAGAGATGACACCATCCTCCTATTCATATTAGGGAATTAGGGTCCCACCCTCTTGAGCTTGTTCTCAGCTGTACCCACCTGTGTCACAGAGAAGCCTGATTCAGTCTCTGCTTCCTGAGTGCTTGGGCTGATTGGGGAGATGCATTTGGCAGGAGAGAAGTTCTGGAGCCAAGGTGGACGCAGGTGTGGTGATGGGTGCAGGGGCTTCCTGGGGAGACGGAAGGCTGCTAGGGGAGGTAGGAATGATGATAGTGACAATAATGCTGTCATGGGTGCCCTTGCCGAGCCCTTGCTAGGTGCTACATTGCCCAGCTTTTCATACACAGCAGCAAAGAATGGGTAGTACACCGTGCCAGGGCACCAGGTGCCAGCCAACTGGTGCAGACAGAGCAGGGGAGATCGGGTCAGCTGCCATGGTGAGCATTACACTGGGCATCAGTGTTCTCCTGAGCACCTCACGTGCTCATGTGAGAGGGATATTATCATCCTCCCTGTGCTACACAGGAGACACAAAGCAAAGGTGACCGAATCACACAGCCAAGGAAGGAGTAAAGAGGGAATAGGTTAACACCAAGAGATCAGCTTGTGTGGCAAAGCTGGGGAGTGTCTTTCAGTGCTGAAATAAAAATGCCTTTGGAGCTGGGTGTGTTGGTACACACCTGTAATCCCAGCACTTGGGAGACTGAGGAAGGAGCACCTTAAGTTTGAGGCCAGCCTGGACTACAAAGCGAGACCCTATCTCAAGCAACAACAAAACTTTGGAGAAGCAAAAGTTAAAATTAGAGAGTTTAGGGGCTGGCAAGGGAGGGGTCACTAAAGAGGTAGAAAAGAGAGGCTGACATTTTGGGGGTGAGTTACTTCTGGTGGAATCACAGCTTCAGGAAGGGGAACTGAGAGGTCACATGGAATGCAATACAGATGAAAGAAAAAAGCTAGGTGGGAAAGTTAGGTGAGGCTCCCCGGGAGGACAAGATTCACCAAAGGTAAAATCACTCCCAAACCCAAAGCCTTCCTGTGTTAGAACTGTTAGCAGGTCATAAACAGTGTAAAGGTACCAAATTTGGAAGGGGATACAATCTGGTTTTCTTAGAAAAGCTTGAGCTGGAGGGCCTGTTGCCTAGAGAACGAAGCCAAAACATCAGAATGAAATCAAGAAAGAACCGAACTTTACTATTCTAAGCATAGCCGGTGACTCAGCACCTCTGGCCCTTAGGAAAGTATGTGTTAGTGAACACAGAGGCTGTCTGGGTGGGGACCTGTATCGATTACTCATCTCTATCCTTTAACATGTATATGAGGCCCCAAACCGTGGCAGCCTTCATGTGACTACCTGGGTTGTCTGATGCTGATCATGGCCCCACTTCCTTTGCAAAGCAGCTAGGTGGACGCCTGTGTAGACACCAGCACACGTGGCATGCAGTCGCACTTGTGCACGGTGGCAGGATCCCCTCTTTCCTTGAAAAGCTCAGAGGTTTCATTAGTCTTAAGGTTTAATGCTCAGCAAGCTCCAGTGTGGGTAAACAGTGCTGATAATCAGTCATAAGCAGTCAGTGACAGCCAGCAGCCAACAAGGACTTTTTTGTTGTGTCCCTGTCATCCCAATGGTCATAAGTGAATGAAGCAGTGAATGGACTCACCGTTCCCTCCCTTTTTTATTTAGGATTCACCATTTGGGGTCAAACAATTTATTTTATGTTTGCTTATTTGAGATAGTATCTCACTATCTAATTCAGGCTGACCTTGAACACAGAGCAATCCTACCTCAGCTAACCTGGGACACAGGTGTGTGCCACCACATCCAGCCCAAACGAATTTAAAAGTCTCTTCTTTTTAAGTCTTTAAAAGTCTCTTCTTAGTCAGGTGTGGTGGCACATGCTTGTAATTCCAGCACTCTGGGAAGCTGAGGTAGGAGGATCACAAGTTTGAGCCCAGCTAGGTGTCTTAGCAAGATCCTGTCTCAAAAGAAGAAATAGAATCAAGGCTGGTGACGAAGCTCAGTGTGAAGGCCCTGGGTTCAATCCCCAGGACCAAGAATAAAAGTTCCTCCTCTTTGTTTCCTCTTCCTCCTCTCTTCTCCCTCACACTCTTCCTCCCCCTCTTCTCCTCTCCTTAGCTTCCTTTTTATCACTTGCTAGTAAGTGGCAGTGCTAGTGCTAGGACCCTCTTCGGCCTGTCGCTCCTAGGCAGATGGAGCTCCAGCGGGGGATCCTGGCTGATATGATAAAGGTGGATCAAGGCTTGTTGCAGCAGTACATGTCTATAACCCCAGTGCTTGAGGCTGAGGCCTGAGGATCACTGCAAGGTCAGCCTGGGCCAATAAGGTTGATAATAATTTGAACTACAGGGCTGGGGATTTAGCTCAGCGGCATAAGTGCCTGCCTTGTAAGCAGGCAGTCGTGAGTTCAATCCCTGGTACCGATAAAAAGGAAAAAGACAAAATAATAATAATAATAATAATAATAATCTGAACTACATAATCAGACCCTGCCTAAAAAGAAAAAAGTAAAACCTAGGATTGTTTTCTCCAAGGCTTGGAGAGGCCCCTAAAGAAGCTGTGTTTTTTATTTTTAATGTACATGTCTAGTACATAATTATTACATTCATCATGGGAATTGGTACATGTATGTAACACATCTTAATTCTTTTCCCACCATACCCCCCCCTTTCATGTTTATTGATGACTTTGTTATCCCAAGCATATTTCTATTTTCAGCCTGTGGAAAATGGTTTGAAATGGGTGGTAATGAGCTTTTGTTGTTGCTGTTGATTTTTGAGACAGTCTCACTATGAAGTTCAGGCTGGCCTTGAATTTTACTATGTATCCTAGGCTGGCCTCACTCAGACAATCCTCTTGCCTAGTGCTGGGATTATTGGTGTGCACTACGCCTGGCCAGGTTTTTGTTTGTTTGTTTTTATTTTTGTCTTTGAGGCAGGGTCTCACTATGTGGTTCAGGCCAGCCTTAGGCTCACTTTGTAACCCAGGCTGGTCTCAAACTTGCAACAATCCACTTTGTTAAATTTTTAGTTACCCTCCAAACCCTCCCGTTAAATTTTACTATTTACAGAAATCTAGTAAAGAAACAGAGGCATCGGGAATAAAGTATTCTTCATAAGCCCAGGTCTCTCACAGCTGGTCAGGAGGTCATAAACCTAAGTGGCCTGATTCTCTGTGCGTGTGTTTTGAGACCAGGTCCCACTGTGTAATTCTGACTAGCCTCTAATCTTCCTGCCTCAGTCTCCCAAGTGCAAGGATTATAGGTATGCACCACCACACCCAGCACTTGACTCCCTTCTAAGCAAGAACAGCTAACCTTACCCAGAGCAGGTTCCTGTGGGTTTCCTGGAGGACCATCCCTGGAGCCGTATAGGGTGGCTAAGTGAGGGTCATCTCTAAACTAAGTTCTGATGGCTACTGTCCTCTGCAGGTGCCCTACTACAAGAGAAGAGGCTGGATGCGGTGACCTTGCTGTATGCCACCTCAATGCCCAGCTTTTGCCTGCTGGCAGGTGCCACCCTGGTGCTGGAAGCTGGTGTGGCCCTGCCACCCGCACCCACTGACTCTCGCCTCTGGACCTGTGTCCTGCTCAGCTGTGTCCTCTCTGTTGTCTATAACCTGGCCAGTTTCTCCTTGCTGGCCCTCACCTCTGCTCTCACCGTCCATGTCCTGGGTAACCTCACTGTTGTGGGCAACCTCATCTTGTCCCGGCTCCTGTTTGGCAGCCATCTCAGTGCCCTCAGCTACATGGGCATCGCACTGACTCTTTCAGGAATGTTCCTTTACCACCACTGTGAGTTTGTGGCCTCGTGGGCAGTCCGCCGGGGACTGTGGCAGAGAGGCCAGCCTGACAAGGGACTTTAAGACCTTGGGAAGCTAATGAGTCTCCCACCTTGGACAGCCTCAGCCTGAGTCCAACCTTGGCCAATGGCTGTGGGGACATTGGAGAGCAGGAAGCTGCTACTGGGGCCAAGAGAGACTGGCACCTTCTGGCAGGACTGCCTGGGAGGCTGGAATGGGGTCTCCCAGAGAGACCTGCCTCTCCCCCTGCCTGCCTGACTTTGTCCAAAACCCCACCCACCACTGGATGGTGGGACTAAACCAGGCACGGTCACTGTGCTGGTCAGAGTAATTGTTCTCGTTAATATCAACTACCGCGCCAAAATTTGCTGAGCAAACTTTGACAACTTCACCAGATTTGACAACTTCACCGGGTTACAATAACAGTGGTGGTGATAATTGTTGACAGTTACACAATCCTTCCTCTAGCGGGGAGGGCAGCGGAGAATGGGCTTCTTCCAGGGAGTTGGGACAGTCTGTGCCAGCTTTAGGCAGCTGCTGTGGCCTCACTCCTGGGCCTCCCAGTTTTGGGTCTTCCGTCCTCAAATAAACTATTTTTGCTTGGACATCTGTGTCATTCCTTAGGGGTACAGTCGACAAAACAGAGAGTGGTAGGCTACTCAGCAGGCTCTAAGACCTGCTATGGTCTGCCCAGGCCACACTGGCCCATCTTTTGGGTGGCAGCAGTGAGTCCCTCCTTGCTCTCCCCTGGCTTTCCGCATCTTCTATGCAGAGGGACCTTTCTATTTTTTTCTTTTTGGTACCAGGGATCAAGCTCATGACCTCAAGCTTGCCAGGCAGGCACTTACACCACAGAGCTAATCCTCAGCTACAACCTTTCTAAAACTTACACATGCTCTGGGGTTCCACACTGCTCTGTCAAAACTTCCCACCCCAGACCACAAGGCCCTCAAGAACTTGCTCTGTAGCCTTGCTAGAGAAAGGGTTTTGACAAGAGACTGTGCCCAAGCTGGATGTGCAGAGTAAGGAATCTAGGTGGCTTCTCCGGAGGGAGTACTGAGCAGGGGCCTTCCAGGTTAGCTCTAGGGTCTTGCAGGAAACAGGGCTCCCATGCAGACAATCTAGAGCAGAAATTTTTTCCTCCGGCAGCCTTGCTGCACTCCCCGCTCCCAACTTTGTCACATCGCCTCTCAGCTTAACTCCTTCCATAAAGTGACCCTTTTCAGAAATCACTTTTTAAAAAAAAGGCCAGGAATTTAGCTTGGTGGCACAAGCACCTGCCTTGCAAACGCACATTAAGTGCACAGTCGTGCTCTTGAGCCCTGGTACTTAAATAAATAAGTAAATAAGTAAAAGGACCTAGCCTGAAATATGGGGACTTGCAGCCTAACAGCTGTGTCCACCTACCTCACTGTGTACCTTGGGTAAGTCCCCTCCCCTCTCTGGCCCTTAGTTTTCAAATGTGTCTGATGATCCCTTAGCAGAAGATTTGGATAAAGAGCTAGGGGTCAGTAGGGAGAGCTAGGTGAGGAGGGAGATGATAGTGTTAGCTGGTTCTGTTTCTGTCATAGGTAGCTGCTTCCCAGTTCCTGAGGTTCTAGAGCTCCCTAAAAAATGTGCCCCCTTGGTCTGAGGATGAGGAGTTAGACCAGGCTTGGGCTACAATGTAGGAGGACTGAGATTCAGGGAGGAGTCCATTCCTGCATATGACCAGAATATAAAGGATCCTTGTACCCACCATTTTCCTGGCCCCAGACTTCCCCAGCTGGCCTTGAAGGAGGGGAAGTGGACCTGGTTGAGTTGAGTCAGCCACTACCCACTCTCCCTATGACTCAGAGGTGCCACAGGCCCAGCCCAGGCCTTGTACAGTTTGGGCACTCCTGTATTCCACTTAGACTTGGCCAGGCAAAACACTGGGATAGACAGCTTTGGTTGCTCAGAGCCTCCTTGGTGGGGGCCAATTGTCATAGCAAGCACGGGCACAGTGTGTGGCAGGGACTAATTGGAAGACAATACAGTGGTCCTCCTTATCCAGACCACTGTAGATGCCTGAGACTGCTGATTAACCCTATATGCTCTGCTTTATCTTCTCACACATACACAGATTTTCTTTTTGTACTAGGAATCAAACTCATGACCTTGCGTTTGCCAGGCAGGTTCTTATGCCAGTGAGCTATATCCCCTACCTGCACACACAGACTTAATGCCTTTTTTCTTAACTAAGAACTTACCACACACTGAAGCTGTAACTTTTGCAGTTTGAAATGCAACAGCAAAAGTAACACTGATTTCTTTTTCCTTCTTTAGAATTTCACAGAAGATTCATCCTCACCGTAGATCTTAGCAACCTCAGCACAAGATTGTTTTCTTTCCTTATTAAGTCTAGAACTTTCGCTTTGTTGTGGAAAGGAAGTGCTTTACAGTTTCTCTTTGGTGCATCCAGATGCCAGCATCACCGCTCTTGCACTTTGGGTTTTTTGTGTTTATGTTTTGAGACAGAGTTTTACTATATAGTTCAGGTACTTCAGATTGGCTTTAAAGTCACTATGTAGCCCAGGGTGGGCTCAAAATCAAGGTGATCCTCTATCTTCCTGCTTCAGCTTCTTGAGGGCTGGCCCAAAGGGGTGGGGGGCACTATTAAGTGAAACAAGGACTACTTGAACCACCAGTTTCCTGGCCCAGACTCCCCCAGCTGGCCTTGAAGGAGGGGCAGTGAACACAAGCCCTGTGGCACCACTGTCAGTGTGATACCTTGATATCCAAAACACCTACCAAGTGATGAGTAATGAGCACATATTAGATATGATAGGGATGCACTGGACAAAGGGATGATTCACCTCCAGAGCAGGCGTAAGTAAGACAGCCTGAGATTTCATCATGCTGCTCAGAGTGGCAATGCCATCTAAAACTTATGAATTGTTGATTTCTGGAATTTTCCATCTAATATTTTCAGATTCCAGTTCACTGTGGATAACACAAACCATGGAAAGTGGTATTGCGGAGGGCGTAAGAGGGCATAAGTATGGTATGCGGTCAGAACAGAAGCTCTGTACTAGAACCTGTGTAGGACTCAATGCTCTGGCACACTGACCTGTGTGATCAAGGACAAGGGCCTTCTGTGCCTCTGCATATTTAGCAGGCAGCAGCACAACCTAACCACACCCAATTGCAGGAAGCTAAACTGGCAGTTGCATGGGCTAAACTGGCAACAATGCCTAAACCATGGTAGGCATTCAATCAATGTCCCCAAGCCTCCTGTGCTATCTCCCCCACCCCTTCCCACCTTCCACTGCATGTGGAGAGCCACCGGGCATGCTTCTGCCTGCACAGAGCCGGGTTGATGTCCAACACCAAATCCCCCTACTCTGCCCTGCAGGGAGCCAGGGGAGCTGGGGCTGTGCTGGGCATTCTGCCGTGCAGACTTGGGAACAAAGCCTTGTTTCAGCCCCAGCTGCCAGGGTGCCCCTCCTACCCGTCCCTGGTGGCCCTGAGATTGTCATTCTAGGAGGCTGGGGCAAACAAGGATTTCCTGCTCCCTTCTCTGCCCCTAAATGGTCTCTGAGACACCAGAAGCCACCACTATGCTGTTCCTGCTCAATTGTAAATAATCTCTGGATGTAACACAAAATATTTAAGTGAGGGTCACTTCATAGAGAGCTATGCAAGGTTTTGAGCTGGAAAGAGCTATGATCTCTCGTAAACATTTCTTAATAAATGGACCCTCAGTTTAGTTTAGAGTCTATGTAAAGAAAAAGCTGGAGATAGGGAGAATGGGGAAGAATTATTGTGGTGATTCCAGTACAGAGATGGCAACAGGAGCAGTGCTGGGGGGCAGAGTAGGTATCAGTTGTATTGATTTGGATTGATAAATTATTTAAAGCTTATAGAAAGCCATTAATTTGGACCCAGCTACTATTGTGAGCCCCAATACACTGGACCAAAAGGGAGTCAGAGTGCCAAAGTTCCAAGTCACCAATCTGAAACTACATTGTTACCTGGCCTTAATCAGAATAAAGAAAGACTGGACACGGTGGTGCACACCTGCAAAAGCAGCAATTAGGAGGCTGAGGCAGGAGGATCACAGAGAGTTTGAGGCCAGCCTAACCTATGTAATGAGTTCAAGGCCAATCTGAATAGTGAGACAGTGTCTCAAGGAAAAAAAAAAAAAAAAAGAGGAAAAAATAACAACCCAATCCCCAAACAGGCCCCTTTCAATTGTCATGATAATTAAATTCTCTCTGCTTTAATCCCCAATGTTTTTTTGTTTGTTTTTTCTTTTGATACCAAGAATGGAACTCATGACTTGGAACTTACCAGGCAAGTGTTTACACCACTGAGCTAAATCTCTAGCCTTGCTTTAATTCTTTCAAAAACAAACAAACAAACAAACAAACAAACAAAACACAAAGTAACCTGAAGTAGTTCTTCCTTGGGAAAACACCAAATGGCAAATGACTGGTGCAGCAGAAGGGCCCAGGCATGGGAGGCAGAGGTGACTTCCCTAGAGGCTTTGAAATGGCGAGCAGAAACACCAGAGACACCAGGATTTGGAGGCAGATTTATTTTATGTCAACAGGCACTGATTGAGATCATTCCCAAAATATCAAGTCCTGATCTCTGTGGTCTAGGGCTTATATGGGATAAGCAAACAGAAAGGACAGAGGCAGAATGGTTTGTCAATCGGGAACTGTTTATACAATGTTCATCGTAGTGATCAGCTGCATATCACATGACCAGCCATTTCCTAGAAGCACAAGCAACCAGAGCTGGGAAGGGAGCTGTTACCTGGGCAACTAAGAAACTGAAGTACACTGTCTGGCTGGGGGGCACAGATTTCCTGCTGCAGCTTTAGCAGTGGCTTGCGGAGGTAAAGACAAGGACAAGAAATGGATTTCTTTTGCTAGGCTGGACTGGCTGGTCAAAGACACAAAGATCAAATCCCTGGAGGAAACTGATCTTTTCTCCTTACACGTCTAGCAATCCGAGATTATTGACTTTTTCTGGACATACCCCTGAAGGATAAAGTTCTGGAAATCATGCTCACACTGGCCAGTGGACCAGGTTGAAGACATTTGTCACCACCAGGACTACAACAGTCATGTTGGTCTGGGTGTAATAAAGTGCTCTAAGGAAGCAGCCACTGCCATTCGGGGGACCATCATCCTGGCCAAGCTCTCCACTGTCCCTGCACAGAGAGGCTACTGGAGGACAGAACTGGCAAGCCCCACACTGTCTCTTGCAAGGTGAGGGACTGCTGTGACTCTGGGTTGGCACGTCTGATCCTTTCCCCTACAGGCACTGGCATCATCTCAGGCGCTATGCCCAAGAAGCTGCTGCTGATGACTGGTACTAACTCTGCCAGGGGCTGCAGTGCCACTCTGAGCAATGTCACTAAGGCCACTTTAATGCTATCACCGAGACCTATAGCTACTTGACCCATAGGCTTTGGAAAGATACCGTGTTCACCATTCTCCCTACCAGGAATTCAGCGACCATTTTGTGAAAACACACACCCAAGCCTCTGCCCAGAGGACTCAAGCTTCAACAGTAGCTACAACATAGGGTTTTTACACAGGAAAAATGAAGTGAACAAAATCTGTCAAAA